TGACCACAGTATGATTATTCCACTTAAATATGATAATTCATAAATATCTAATATCCAGAATGTGTCAAATTTTCAATTATTTCATTGGAATTTTTTTAAGGTTGTTCAAATCATGATCCAATAATTGTACACAATGTGATGGGTTGCTCTATTTCTTTATTTCTTTTACTATTTCTTTATTTATTTAATCCTCACCCAAGGACATTTTTGCATTTCTCTTCAGATAGAGTGGGAGGGAGAGAGGACGGAGAGAGAGAGAGAGAGACATTGATGTGAGAGAGACACATCAAGTGGTTGCCACCCAAACAACCCCAACCGGGGCCAGAGACAAACTGCAACCAAGGTACATGCCCGTAGCAGGAACCGAACCCAGGACTCTGGTCTGCGGGTTGACGCTCCAACAGCTGAGCCAAAGCGGCCAGGGCTCTATGTTTCTTTTAATCTATGATCTTCTTTGGCTTCTCTTTTTGTTCCTAGTAATTTATTTGAAGGAACTGGATTGTTTATACTCTAGAGGTTCCTATACTCAGTATTTTGCTTACTTCATGATATGGTATAGTTTATTGTGTATTCCTCGCCCCACCATTTCTTGAAAATTGGAGGCTGTATTTCTTTTATTTCTTTTCTTTTCTTTTCCTTTTTATTTTCTTTTTTCCTCTTTCTCTTTGTGTGTGTGTGTGTTAGTTCTAGCTATCATTTTAATGGTTGGTTAGATTCCGCCCTATATTTTGCCAACAGTTTGCCTTATTGTGGTTTCCAGGCTTTTATCCAAAGGTCTTTGCATTTTCCTCTAGTGCTACACAATAAAAAAAATTCTAATCTTGCATTTAAATAGCCTGTCCACAAGTCTTTTCGTTGAACTGTGGTTCTTACCATCATGGTTCTCCTCCAAATACACTGGCTTATTAATTTCAACTTTAAAATGTGTTCCTGGATCTAAAAATAATATTCTATATGTGGTCTATTGCTTTTCTTGAACAGGAGAACATCACCCGGAAGTAATTAGACTTGAATCTAATGCTTAATTCTCTTTCTCCTCCTCCCACCCTCAAGTCATCTCCACGTAGGCCAGAGTAGCCCTTTTGGTTTGGGTAAGATAAATACAGATATGTAAGTTGGATCTCTTCCTTCTCTTAATTTCACTATCTGTTGCAGTGGATGATATAACTTGTGTACATAGCTGTTAAGTAGTTTGGCTGTGAATTATTGATCTTTTTCCTTGAGAGCAACAATGGGTCCTCATGTGCTATAGGTTGTCAAAGCAGTGATTTGGGTGAAATAAATGACTATTTTTGCATTAAATTTTGAAATCAAACTCTCCCATAGGTTTGCTACAGAAGCAGTAAAATATGGTTGAAATAATAGTAAGGAAAGAATTTCATATATACTACAATAACCCTTCTCCTGAATCCTGAAGTTATATAATAGTTTAGAAGTTGAGAGAATGACATAACTCATAACTTAAAAAATGTTTTTTCTCAACAAAGTGTTCTAGTAATAAAAATTATTTACATATAGGGTTTCTACCAACAAATATTTTATTTTATGATATTTTAGAGGTTCTTAGACCCAAAGAACACAATTATATACGTGTTATTGTGAACCATATATGATTATATATTAATTAAATGGTAATTTGAAAACATTACATATTTATCAACTTTTTCAAAAGTCTCCATCTTTTTAACAAAGGTATTAAGAATTAATTAAACATATTTCATTATCAAATTACTAAAAATATATGTTTGCGTAGTGATATATACTGTCAAACGGATACCGAACTTGGTAGTTGAAAGTTCATATAAACTTCAGAAAGAGGAACTAACTTTGGCACTTGTCTAGGAATAACTGAGCCTCTGGAAAGAAGATAGAAGGTTATTTATAGTCTTAAACCTTAGTGCTGTTTGAGTCTGATCCAGTCTGTGGCCAGCTCTAACCTCCCCAAAGTAGCATGGTCCAAACCAGAACTGGGCCTATTAACCTCCAGATTAATACCAGGCTAACTATTAGTCTCACACAGCAAAAGGAGGTATTCAACATGACTGTGGGACCAGAGATGTGGGTGTGAATCCTACCTACATCATATATAGCTGTGTGAATTCGGGCAAATTTCTCACTTCTCTAAACCTCAGGTTCCTATTCTATAAAGAGCAAAAATAAAGTATCCATCTCATTTGGTTGTCCTGAGGATTAAATGAGCATATAGTAAGCTTAATACTATGCTTGACATATAATATCTTCTGCATAAATGTGAATTATTATCATTGTTGTTATGATTATCTTTACTAATTTATCATGGCCAGAATTAAAGGATGTTCTTTCCCTAAAATCCTTTGGTGTTCAGCTTTGTCCTAGTTTGAGTTAATCTATTGCTCTGTACTTGAAATACAATTCCATACTTTGTATTTCTTCCTTTCATTTGTCAGATGGAGTCCTCCAGCTTGGAACATTCAGTGGAAATCTATGTGAAGAACTCGTAAGGTTTAAAGACATGCCCTGCATTATGGTTGAATTAGCTCTGGGATAAGTTAAAAGACACATGAATTTTATCCTCAGACCTCCTCTAATCATTAATGATCATGGGACAGTAATAACTCTATGAGCCTCAGTTTTTAAAAAAATGAGGTGAGGACGATGGACTAAAACTCTCTAAGGGGCTACTTAGCTCTAACTTTCTTAAGTACTGCAAGGTGTTTGTTTGCTTTGTGATAAATTGATCAAAAAGCAATCAATAGATGTCATAGGCTACTAAAAGCAGTGTTTACATTTTAATAATGTGTCCAAAAGTGGTAAAAAAGAAAAAAAAGATGAAAGAAAAGAATATTCTAGGATGTACCAAAGACCTATACAAAAGTACACCACTAAAAGATGATTAGATGAGACGAAAAAAGTGAGAATCATGAAAACAAAATGGAAAGGGTGTAGCATGCAAGAAATTTTAGATCACCCCCGAGAATGACTGACGTACTAACGTTAAAAGGTAAGCTCATTTGATTTGGCAGTCTAATTATCATTTCAGAAATATGATTAATAAATCATTCCAGAAAATGATAAGAGCATATAATTGATGTTCAGATGACATAGATCCTATGAACTGTTAAGGCCAGGGAGTAGGAAATGACCATCACCCAGGAACTAAGTGGCATTTTTACATTTTTAATTTATTACTAATTCAATGATTTTTAATGGGTGACTCCAGGAGATCTTCCAAGAACACTTTAAACTCTCCCACAGGGAGAACACAGAAAAAAAAGTTCAATTTCATATTTAGGAATTCTCCTGTAAAATGTTTTATGAGTTAAGTACAAAGGTCTACAGAGCATAATCTACAGACAAGCCAAAAATGTTTTGGCCAAGTGACCTCTTGAATCAGCTGGCAGTCCTGTGCAGAGGTAGAGAAATATATTCATAGGTATCTTAGTAATGTGTGCAGGGCTCAGCAAGAAGCTTTTATAGATAGCACTCTTTAAAACAAACTCAAGGCCAAACTCTAAGAAATAGGAACAAATGCAGTTTATACTTAGTTAATAAATTCTCAACTAAAACTGGTGAAGAGTAAACCTGATATTCTCTTACAGAAAAGAGAAAACACAAACCAGATTTCAGGGAGCTAACTTCTAATCTTGGCAATACTGTGGCCTTGAGCAAGTCACCGAACATCTGAGCTACAGTTTCTATTTCTACCAAATGGAGATAATAATGCTGACTTAATTGAATTGTGTGAGGTTTAACTAAGTAAACACATATAAAGTCCTGAGCAAAATACCTGATATATACAGAAATCTGTCAGCAATTGTTTGTGTTAATTTGTGGTGTCAGACTAAATTTTCCAATGGAAAGCACAAGTAAGACATTTCTCCTTATAAATATAGAAAATCTCCAACTCTGAAATTGCTGTGTGTCTGTAGTCATGTCTACCCACAGAGCCAAAAACTCACGTTCTATTTTTCAGTTGTCTGATTAAAAACAAACCAGCACAGCATTCAGCTTGGAAGCCATTGAGAGCACCACCTGTCCGATTTTCTTACAGCTGTCAGAAGCAAAGTTTAGATCCACCTCCCAAATTTTTACCCCAACTAGAATCAGATTGTGTCTGTATTAACATGCTTTAGTTGTTTTAAAGGGTCGTTTTATTTAAGAAATATATATATAAGTATATATAATACATCTATATTAAACATATATTTTACATATAATGCATATGTAAAACAATTGCTACCATGGTGAAATAGTGAAAATTATAGGCTTTACGAATATGGCATGTACCTTTTCAGAATAAGCATTGAAACAGAAAATATTTGTTTTAATATAAAGATAGAATTCATCATCTGGGGGAAAAGAAACATGAACATGTAAAAAGAATGAGAATATGGCCACTTTTAAATTGCTTTATTTTAAAAATCATGTTGATCTACAGTGACTCTCTGCAGTTCCAAACCTTGTCTCTGAATATCCACCAATAGTAACATATAAACAAATTTCAGGAAGACTTGTCTTAAATTGTATACAAATCTAGATGTGGGTGTATGTATATACTCTAGTTAGAAGGGAAAAACAAATTTAAGACCTACATTTTAAAATATCATTAGGCAAAATGCTCAAAATTATTTTCTAAGTTTAATCATGATATGCAACATTTTAAGCTCATTGTGGTCTCCATCCTTCCAAGCCTTATAATTTTTGCTAGGTAAGATATCAGCCCTGTTACACGACCACAGCTATTTATAGAGGTGTGGGAGACACTAGTAACTAGTAGGGCCTTTGGCATAGCAAAAAAGTTTACACATGCAAAATTTCCAAGAAACCTCTTCTCACTCCCCCAACACACGGATCTGTCCACCTCTCAGGTCCCAAATCCACGTCTCTGATCCCCTATAGAATCATTTGATCAAGATAATGAACTAAAAGCAACATTTTCAGTCAACACATTGACTGTCAATGTGACTGTCAATTTCCACCTTTTTATTCCAGTTGATACAATTGGAAAACGGTAGCGGTACCTTCAGCAGTGATCTCCGTCATGGTGGTTCCAGAAAGGAAGAGGCAGGCCAAGAGTTCCGGTCAAGTGGCAGCTTGCAGAATACTTTAGGATCTGAGAACTCTGATGGGGGGCTTCTGTATGAAAAGTGGGGGCTCTTGGTTTTTCTGGCTGTTCCTGCTGCTCCTTTGTTGTCTTCTTGAACTTCGTCTCTGTTCTGCAGAGTTCTCCCCCTGGAAACAACCTGAGCCCTTTCCAAACAGCACTTGTGGCTCAGGCAGAAGTATCAGCTTCAAATAAAAATAGCCTCATCTCCCTAGGACTCTTCAGCACTTTTTTTTTTTTTTTTGGCACTGGGGAAACACACACACACACACACACACACACACACACACCCCACACACCAGCTCCCCAGCCCCAGAGAGATATAGGCCAAAAGAAGAGATAGAATAAAAAAAAGTCAAAGGAACCAAAAAGTACTGCCTAAGACCTTGTAGTTTTCCTAAGATAATTACAGATCTTGGGGTCTATGTCAGAAAACACAAAATAAAGAGTTGCAAGTAATCTTATCCATGATAGCTCAGATTTATTCTTAGTGCCCTTAATGCTGAGAACATTCCTCTTTCCCTTATTTGGTGTGGGGAGGGTCCGGTAATGTCTAGAAGAGGCAAAGTGGAGGGTATTCTGAAGTCATTCTCTCAACCTCGATTCCCTATTAGTCTAAATCCACTCAGCAAGTGTAGTTATTTATATAGAGCTACACTTAAAGTTACAACTATTAAATCCTGACGCCTCCTTGTCAGAGATTGAGATTTTTTCAAACACCAGTCAATTAGAAATATATAATATGAAGTTATATTGACACATGAGAACAGAAAAATTCCTAGATTTTTTTGTTGTTGTTCACTTTACTATCTTACTAAAAACAAAGTATCTGAACTTATTGACGCAATAGAAAGGGAAGGTGACACAACGTTTGGAAATCCACAGCCACATTTTAGTAAAAGATTTCACCTTTTCCCTACTTCAACTTCAAGAAAAATAAAATAAAAATGAGTATAGCAGCTAACAATTAGCCAGATTGGCTGATTAGCATTTCATCTTTCCACTCGTAGCCAGGTGTTAATGAGCAGAGAAATATTCAGTGGTTGGTGGTTGGAAGAAGAAGGAGAATCAAAGGGCATCGATAATCACAAATTCTAGCCAATCTGTTACTAATAAAGGGCTGACTTACCTTGTCTTTTATTTTATTCCCTTAGTCAACCTAACAGATGTTTGTAGTTTAAACTTTTAGCCTTAACTTGCTTCCCTTGGTTGTCAGACCCTCTTGGATTTGTATGGTATTTCAGAGATCATAAAGGAAAGTCACGTATGTTGTTTTAATATTTGAGATTCCAAAAAGTGCAGCAACAGCTCTTTCCATAGACTGTGACCTCCTGATCGTCAGCAGTTCTGTATCTGCTGCCCAATTCCTTGCACAATAGGAAGTGTTTATATGCCCGCTGAATAAAAAGATAACTAAGTAAACACTCTCAATTCACAAAAGGGGAAATAATTCCAGGTCGTGCTCGTTATTTTATAAAACATCCTACACCTAAGACTGGGTTTAGAGGCTTGTCACTATAAGTCTGACACCTTGCCATGAGGTAAGACTTAGTTGCAGACACTACCATTTGCAGGTAAATGGGATCCTTGCAAATTAGGCCCACCAGGAGATGGAAAGAGGCAAAGTCCTCCCAGCACCCTACTGGAACTAGGGGTTGGTATCGTCTTTCTATGGTGGAGAGGGTGTAGCCTAAAAACAGAACTCCACTCACTTGGCCCCCAAAGGCATCTCCATTAATTTCCACAGTGCTTCCAATTTCAAGAAAAGAGTACTTTCCATCTCCATTTGTCATAAAATTTTAGTCTTTCACTGTAGTTAACTAAAGAATTAATACTTTTTTATGTAACTCATTAAGAATTTAATTGGGTCAGGGGTTAAATAAAATAAGCTGACTCAGAGGGATAACACACACACACACACACTTATTTAATAAAAGTTGAAATAAGACTATAGTGCAAGACCACTAAATTCCCAGTGTTTGATGTTACTCTTAAAGTCTCATCACTAACTTCAGGTTATACATACTAGAAGGAAAAAAGAAGAGTAAAAAAAAATTCTAGCCAATAAACATGTTAAAAAACATTTGTTGGATGAGTTGGAAATCTTATTTGACATTAAGAAATCAGTATATTTCTCATTTTGAAAAGTTATTAGAACTATTTCAAATTATTTTAAACTCAATTCATAAGATATAGCTTGAAGTTTCTAATGGAACTCTGTGAAGCTTTTCAAAATCAAGTAATTGACTTTTTTCTAAGGATATACACTCCTCTCTCTTCAGAACACTCAAAGAATAAAACATTATAAACAAATACATTAGCCTTTCTTTTTTTTAAATTTTTTTCCTTTATTGATTTTAGAGAGAGAGGAAGGGAGAGGTAGAGAGAGATGGAAACATCAATGAGAGAGAGAACATTGATTGGCCATCTCCTGCACGCCCCTTACTGAGGGTTTGGCCCACAACCTGGGCATGTACCCTGACTGGGAATTGAACCAGCGACCTCTTGGTGCTCAACCACTGAGCCATACCAGCCAGGCCAACCAAATACATTAGTCTTTCTTCATTTTTTTTTTCCCAGTGTTCTTAAAAATGAATTTTAAGAGGTATTCATTTTGAAGAGACTTTTTCAGTTAATTGGGCTCTTTCAACATGACCTGAAAGTGATGATTCTCTCTTCTCAGTAATAGCTATGATGTATTCTCATGTTTTCATTTCTCTAGGATTGGCACAGATAGACTTATCCTGGTTTTATATACATGAATAACTATATGTGAAACCAAGGATCTTTATGAATTGGATTAAATTTATCTTTAGCTCTGGCTTGTTGGCCCAGTGGTTAGAGTGTCAGCCTGCACACCAGAGGGTCAGAGTTTCAGTCCCAGGAAGGGCATTTACCCGAGTTGCAGGTTCTAAGCCCAGCATGGGTCAGGATCATGGAAGAGGCAATCAATTGATGTGTCTTTTTCATATCAATGTTTCTCTCTCCCTCTCTCCCTCTCTCCTTCCCTCCCTCCCTTCCACACTATCTAAAAAACAATGAAAAAATATCCTCGAGTGAAGATTAAAAAAAAAAAAAAGACGAAAAAAGAAATTTTGCGCTCTATCTATTATCTATCATCTATCTCTATCTATCTATCTATCTATCTATCTATCTATCTATCTATCTATCTATCTATCTATCAAATCTATCAGGGACCTAGCCTTTCCCCTAGATAATCAGCAACCCTTGAGACAGCAGAAGACAATAGCTGGGACCTAATTAATAATCACAAGGTTTGGACCTCTGGCAGGCTAAAGATAACATTGTGACCTAAGTTATGTTTTAGCTAAGCTGGAACAAGCCCCTGGCTCCTTCCTCATGAAACTAGACAAAGGGATGTGGGACAAGACCTCAGAGCTGTCCTCAGGACCTGAAGAAATGAATTATTACCCTTACCTCACAAATCAGCTCCCAGGTCAACCTTGTACCCCCTAACCCAGGATGTCCAGTGATTTTGCCCCATATAACCTGTGATCTACACGCCAGCCATTGAGGTGTTTGAGCATTTGAGCATTCGCTTCCCATTCTCCAGGGTGGCACCATTCATAATAAAATAACCAATATTTCTCCATTGCAATTCTCTGTGTCTAGTGTCTGGCTCTGCCAGTGCTGGGTGGATGAAATCTTTCTGCTCCATAGCATATACATACAAACCACTGTTCTTGTCATTATTAACTAATCAAGTCTACATAAGCCAATGCTAAATCATGAAAGTCTGTTCTCCTGTTAAATGTTTCATTTAGTTCAGCTCCCTCTCCAAGCTGATTATACTGATCATTACTCCTCGTGGTTTTTACTAGGTTTTCTAAATATTCAAGTTAGTAGACAAAATTATTCATCCTTAGAGAATTTTTTAGTTTTTTTACTGATTTTAGAGAATGTGAGAGGGAGAGAGAATCATCCATAAGTTGCCTTCTCACACACTCCCCAACCCTGAATCAAACTCATAACCCCAGTATGTGCCCTGACCGTGACCCTTCTGTGCAGGGGAGGATGCTCCAACCAACTAAGCCACCTGGCCAGGGCCCTTAGAGCAATTAAAAATAATCTGGCTATTCTATCAGCTATTATCATAAACTAACAATCAGCAAGATGTATACTGTATTTGACTATGAACATGATATTTTTCCCACATTGAATTTCAGAATGTAAAAGATTCAGGAGGTAAGCAGAGAGATTTTGAAGATTTCCTATTTTCACCAAAAAATTATAAAATAGAACAATAATTTTAAATGCTTTTTTTAAATAGATATAAAAATTAAATGAAAAGAGATATAATTTGGAGTAAATAGCTACTTACCATGAGTCTCAATTTCTCAAGGATTAGAGATAGCTGAGAGAACATCAAGTTTTAAGATTACTTCTCAATATCTTCTGTTTCTCAATTTACAGACACAAAACAGCTTATAGTTGAATACTCTATACATGGATTGGTGGTAAATAGAAATAAAGAAATTTAAAAAACATTTTGTACAATATTACACATTTAGATTGCAAGTAAATCTATGGGCTACCTAACTGGGATAGAAAGTGCTCTTTAGCCCTGGCCAGTTTGGCTCAGCGGTTAGAGCGTCGGCCTGCGGTCCGGAGAGACCCGGGTTCGGTTCCCGCTAAGGGCACGTACTTCCGTTGCAGTTTGTCCCCGGCCCTGGTTGGTCGTGCGGGTGGCAGCCACTCGATGTGTCCCTTCACGTTGATGTTTCTCACTCTCTCTCCCTTCCTCTCTCTCCCTCCCATTCTATCTGTACAAAAAATGGAAAAATATCCTCGGGTGAGGATAAAAAAAAAAAAAAGAAAGAAAGAAAGTGCTCTTTACTTGGATCTTAAAATAATAATAAGCAGAACTTTTTTGTGAGCTTGAGTTTTCAGGTTAATTTTTTTTTTTTTTTTTTTTTTTCTAATTTATTTTATTTTTTTTTTTTTTTTTTTTTATTTATTAATTTTTGTTACAAATGATTCTCCTTTTTTCCCCCAGTGGTTCCCCCCTCCCCCTTCCCTCCCCGCCCCTTCCCCCGATTGTTGTCCATGTCCACTGTTCATGCCTATATGCATATAAATTCTGTTGTTCATCCCTCTCTCAGCTCCCCACTCCTTAGGGGATTGTCCTCAAACT